AGAGACTGGGTTTCTTCATGTTGGTAAGGCTGGTCTCGAACTCCTGACCTTAGATGATCTGCCCATCTTGGCATCCCAAAGTGCTGGGATTACAGGTGTGAGCCACCATGCTTGGCCAGGATGAGGTCTTTCTGTGTTGCCCAGGCTGAATTTGAACTCCTAGGCTCAAGCAATCCTCCTACCTCAGCCTCTGGAGTAGCTGGGACTACAGGTGTGCGCCACTGCAACTGGCTTTTGGCAATCTTTTTAAAATAACTCTCAAGGAGGACCTATTATATGCTGGCACTGTGCTAGGCATATCATATACTTTATCTGTAATTCTTTTTTTTTTGAGAGAATTTTACTCTGTTGCCCAGGTTGGAACACAGTGTCATGAACACAGCTCACTGCAGCCTCAGTTTCCTGGGCTCAAGCAATCCTCCCATCTCAGTGTCCCCAGTAGCTAAGGCTACAGGCATACACCAGCATGCCTGGCTATTTCTTTAATTTTTTGTAGAGATGAGGTCTTGCCACATTGCCCAGGCTGCTCTTGAACTTCTGGACTCAAGTGATCCTCTACCTTGGCCTCCCAAAGTGCTGGGATTACAAGTGTGAACTACCATGCCCAGCCTGTAATTCTTAACAATATTCCTTTGAGGGCTTTAATGATTATATGACTTGTCTAAGGTTCTATGACCAGTCATCCATTTATCTTTTATTGCTAACCCTGCCCCAATTTGAAAGCCCAGTTTGAACTCTGGGATAAATATGATCTGTTAATGGAATGGTATGAGCTTTGAATCCAATAGATCTGAGTTCAAATCCAAGCTTTAACCTTTTTCTGAATGACTTGAGCTCTCTGCTGTTCATCTTATCTTTTAAAGTATATTAATCACCCTTCTCCAGATGTAATGAATGTAAAGGCTCTAGCACAGGGCCTGGCACCCAGGGACATTACATGGAGGCCACAGAGTTTTTTCTTTCTTTTTTTTTTTTTAATTTCCCCATGTTCCAGACCATCCAGGTAGGTTCCTGTGATAAGCTTCAACTACTACCACCATAATCATCATATATGCAAAGATCCATAAGTATGTTTTCCTGTGCTTTCCCTAACAGAATACTCTCCTATGGAAAGATACAAGGAATTCCAGATCAAATCATATCCTCTACAAGACTTTAGCTCCTTGAAACTTCTGCATCTCCAGAAGGCCTGGGAGCTACAGGGCACAAGCTTCAGCGGGAAGATCAGAACCTCAGGAGACAGTCTCCCCAAGATGCTGGGCCCAAAGATCAAGTAAGCTCAGCTCTTGCCAGATAGACGGGTCCAGATTGTGGTTGCAAAGGGAGATAATACTTATCTGGCAGAATGTCAGGGATGCTAGGGAGGGGGCAAAGGTGGAGGACACAGGTCAATCCCAAAGGGTTGTGCATGAGGCACCCTAGAGATATCCTGGGTCTGAGAGCCAGGACCTGCATTCTCCACCTGTAACGTGAAAGGTCACTTCAGGCATTTATCCACTTCTTTTCTCAGGGCCTCAGTACCGCATTTAAGGAGGAAGGGGCTGGACAGATCTTCTGGCTCTGAAATTCTGTTGGTCAGTGTGTTGCTGGGCCCTTTTGATTTTGAGCTGCTTCAGAAAATTCTGTCCGGCCGGGCGCGGTGGCTCAAGCCTGTAATCCCAGCACTGTGGGAGGCCGAGGCGGGTGGATCACGAGGTCAAGAGATCGAGACCATCCTGGTCAACATGGTGAAACCCCGTCTCT